TATACCTTGATTCTTTGAAATGCTAAACTGAGCAATAAAACAAAGTGCAATAAATTTTTTTCACTTGATGGTGCTTAAGACTCACGTTAAATGAACTGTTTCAAAGAACTTTATAGAAAATAAATACAGATAAACATTCGATAAAAGTGTGTGAATTATTTAAATGCAAATAATCTCTTTGAAGCTTTTTTTTTATTTTGAAGCACAAAACCAATTGTCTTAAAAATCATCGTGGTGAATAATTTAATATATATATAAACACACACAACGATGGTAGTTATCACACAGCTGCTCATATTGAAAAAAAAATTGTGCTTAGTATTTGAAACAATATTGTTTCTATAAAATCAAACAACTCAAAACTTTTAAAATATAATAATTTTTAACTTTGAGAACATGAAAATATATTACATATTAATACAATTTAGGAATCAAGTTATGACGAGAAATGAATATTATTTATATACATTTTATGTGTATTTTTTTTTTTATGGTTTCACTTCTTATATGTGACCACTTTTTTTGGTAGAAGAGCACTCACGAAGTTGCATGTAACTCTAGCTATCAATCAATCGAAAACTGAGCACAGATGGTAGGAAATTTTAGAGAGATTCTTTTTCAAAAAAAAATAAAAATGATGTAAATTGTACTAAAAGAAACCGATACAATAATAAATTACAATATACTCGAGTAAAACAATAGTTATTTTATAAAATCAATGTAGTGGATACACCTTACATTGTTGCACTTAATTAAAAACCATAATAATATTTATATGATTTTAAGATAATTACTCATTACTTCTAAAACACAATTTAATTTTTAACATTAGTTAGGTCACTTAAAAGTTCCATGAAGAATTTAGAAAACGTATTATAATTGTTCTTTTCTATTTGTTTTTTTTTTTTTTTTTTTAATTTGAAATTTTAATGTTAAAAATATGAAAATATATAAAATTCTCATCTAATTATATACACAAAAATTATTTAGATAGTTAACGGTACTAAATAATACATTTTTATTATGTATTACTATTATTTTTTATTGATTTTCTTTTGACACTAAAAAACTAAGAGGAGATGGAGGTTTTTATTTTTAAAAACATTTTTTTTGTTTTATTTTATTTTGTCTCATTATAGCTCAGTTGTAATATGTATGAACATAATAGCCATTACTATATCTATTATACAATATCTAATATTTTACTGTTCATATACCTATTTTATTTATTTGTTATTTAAAAATAATATATTTATTATCATTATACTCAATTTCTTAAATTTATTTTTAAACAAAAATATGACAATGCAATGTCAGTTTGTTATAAATATTTTATCATTTGTTTTAACCTATATTTTATAGGCTTACAATTCTTGTACCTACCTACTTAAAAATAATACGTACTGAGATGTTATTTATTTTTAAATTGAATTTTTTTTTTTTTTTTTTGATTAAGCAATCTATGGTTATTAGATAAATCAATAATTTACAGGTCACTGATCATATTTTTATTTTTATTTCTATATACTTTATATAGACTAATAAATTATTTTCTTTAGACTATATCAAAAAAAAAAAAAATTAATATATTATAATATAGTATTAGTTCAATATTCACAACATTCCGAAATACAATTTTAAAATGCCTGTGTTGTTGATATAGACTTAATAAATTAACTATAAATAATAGTATGCGGTTAAATAACTATAAAAAAAAATTTTTCAATGTGAGCAACATAATCATAATTTTTATTAATATTAAAAACATAGATCATTGTAAAATCAATACAGTCATCTTTCCGCTCAGAATCTAAAATGTATCACCTAGAAACGTATCGCTAATAAATTAATAATTAGTCAAGCTTCTGTAATGCTACGTAAAAAATGTATCTACAAAATATTTATGTACGTAGAGGATATATTATTTAGGTATAATTATATATTATACTCAACAAAAAATAAACGAGTACACAATATATCGAATATATATACATAAAAAAAAAATATGTGTGCTTTACCTAATTACTTTTATTCAAATTTAAATTAACAATTAATTCCATAATAATTCATGACTGTTAGACGCTGAAGTTAAGCTGAAAGTCATTTAAGTTTTACTGAAAAATAAATATTAATTATTATGAGATATTTTAAATTCTAAGCGGAGCGATGACTGTATTGATTTTACAGCAATATATGTTTTTTTTATTTTGTCCATATGTACACAAATTATAGTTGAACGAATGTTTAGATTTTCAACTTTAAAGTTGTTTTCTATTAATTGAGTACGTATAAATTATATTTTTAGAAAATTAAAAATTAAAATCGTTAGTACTTTAAAAAATAATCTGACCAAACGAGGAATATCAAAAACAAAATTACGGAAAAACATAAATTTTTACCCAAACCCTGTTGTCAACAAAATCAATTTTTTTTTTTTTTATTTGAATTCAAAAATAAATCATTGTACAGACTTCAAATTGCTTATAAAATATTCATGTTAATATTTATTATTGACAAGGCTTTCAAAATATTATTTTAGTCAAATTAAACTGTTTGTAATTCAAAAATATTGTTTGTGTGTACTATAGAAACTTTAACATATGTATTATATTTTACTATCTTATACCTACAATTAAAACTTTTCAAAATATTAAAACTAATTTCATGATATTGCCTGATTATACCACGAACGTATTTACATCGTTCTACGGCAAGTCTGTATTTAATTGAAGTTAAAAACAAATAACATATACGATTTATATTAAAATTAATTCTATATACGGTATCACTTACAGTAAAATAAATGATCTTCGCTCATAATTGTATTTTGCATGCAAATATAAGATGATTCATTATTAAATTTAATTTAAACATATCTTTTTTTTTTCATTTATATAAAGTACAATAGATACTCATTTAAGTACTCAATGAAAAGGTAGGTACCTATAGAGTCTACACCATACTAAAAAAATTTCTTACTTTTACATTTTTTTTTTTTTTTGTTTTGTTTTGCTTAAAAATGTATTATTGATGATCATAATATTACGGATTTTCTGATACGTAAACATTGCGAAAATATTTTAATATTTCGTTATGTAGGTAGTCAATTTTTTGTGACCATTTTAACAGGCATACGATTGTTTATTCTTAACACATTTTTTGTAGTTAATTAAATGTATTTGAATTCTACTCTCGTCGACTACAACAGCAAATGGTTGAACACGAATCTTTCAAGGAATATAAATTAAATATAATATAATCAGTTGTTTAAATTTATCATTTGTTTACAAAGAGGTTTAATAATGTCATATCTAATGGTAATTATACAATTATAATACGTACTAAACACTAATTATGTCCAAACAATAGAAATAAACTTTTAAACTTGTTACCACATGTTTTAAATAGGTAATCTGAAATATAAAACAATATAATATCATTAAATTTCAAACGCGTGTATGAATAATAACTATATTTATAGCAACTACATAAAATTAATATCTATTTTTTCTCCTTTTCGGACTACCTACCTACTCTGTAACCGTCGTTGCAAGTTATCGTGTTTCAAGTCTTTCCAAGTCATAAATCATGTAATAGAAGATGTTTTTTTGTGACGGATTTGTACCTACATAATGTCCATGGCACCAATAATATTCAGGTAGCTTATCAGTCATCTCGCCATCATCATTTATAGTATATATTATTATAATTTATTCTTTACAACTATTATAATCGATTACGAGTCACCGAAACAATGTATTCCGACGATGGAATATTACTGTTGTGATAAAGGCCTATGGGCTACGAGTTATGACTGCGTGATCATAATATTATACGGCTGAAATATAATCAAAAATATTATTATTATCGTAAGTGTACGTCGATTGGTTATCTTCTCGGTGCGTTGTAAAATTTAAAGCAACATAACGTTATTATAAGTAATTAATTGTTATGGATTGCAGTACGACGCACGATAATAAAATATTTAACTGTTTAAGTGTGACTATTGATATTAAATATTATTGTGATGTGTACTAACATTTTTAACAATTTAACATAAAACGATATGTAGGTGTAATGTAAAAATCGATTATCCTTTTGACGGTATCTATCCAAAAAAATGTTGTTTTAAAATAAATAAAATTCACGCTTCACACGTTGTTAGTGTTATTATCGCTGTAAAAACGATAAATGCCAAATGCCAAATGGTAATTGCACTATGTACCAACAGTTCCAGGGCAGTGGCAAACGGTTTGCGGCCAATGGTACGGCGCCATCTGTGGGTGTCAACGCGGAAAAGTCTTGACTTTCCGAGTTCCGCGACTGCTCGACAGTGCGCGACAGCCGTTCGTGATCTCATCGATTGCACGACCAAAATATAGACCCGACTTCAATAAATAAATAAATAAACGTATCTAATATTAAATCATGGTCGATTATAAAAATATATTAATAAGCTAATATTATTTATAAATATTACAATCGATGGGGTGGTACGGACTTCGGACAACGCTCGCGTCGATAATATAATATTATCACAACGTTCACGACTGATCCTGTGCACAAGCACAATTAATAATAACACTGTACCTATTCGTGCCGAACACATGGAAGTCCCATAGCGATATTATTGGCCACAGGTCCTCTGGATAAAAATATAAATATTTTATTTTGAAATAATTGATCAAACCAAAAATGATGTTATCGTGAAACGTGACAATTTCGTCGTGACTCGCGTCCGTTAAGGTTAAACAGATTATTAATTTGTTACTCGTAAAGTTAATACTTATATTATGTATTAATATCGCGAGTGCGCACGTCCCGACGACTGTTCCTTATCTCTCGCAGAACAGCTGATTTGACGGATAACAGTTCCGAGCGGGGGTGATAACACCGTTCGCTATAGTAATAATAGCAACAACAACAACAATAATAATAATAATACATTTTTTTTTATTTTTTTTTTTACCAAACGAAAATCTATAATAATAGTAATATTATTATTATCTCGACGCGGCCGCGGTGTTTTTTTATCGTTTAAAATAATATATGGTTTTATCACGTGAAAAAATACTGACGCAATCGCCGTCCGCGGACCGTGAACGGCGAAGTGAAGCACTCGTCGACTTACCGGTGCGGCGTACTCACTACTCAATCGATACCCATCGCCGTTGATACGCAGTCCGTGCTCGGCACATCGTCAACGTGTACGCCGATCATAATATTATTATTTTTATTGTTATTACTGTCGTTATCATACCTAATCGTTATCACCGCCGTTCCGTTCCGCACTGTGCACTGTAGACGCCGCCGCCGAGTGCTGCGTTCCAAACTCCCAAGTCATCGCGACCACCGCCAAATAGGTACGTACCTACCTACCGTACTGTAATTGTATCAACGATGTTGTTGTCGGACATGAGGCCGGTGGTTACGGTCTCCCACGGTCGTTCCGGTCTTGCGATGTAGTCGAGCTCGCCGCCGGATTGACCCGCCGTCTCGGAAAACGAAGGAGAAGCACCGCCCGACGACCCGCAATGGCCGTGTGGCTGGAAGTGCTGTTCGTGGCTTTTTTCATCTCGCTGCCGTTCCTCTACGACACGCGCCGGACGTTCCGCTACTACTTCCGTCTGGCCATCTTCTCCGCGCTGGCCTACCTGACGTCCCTGTTGGCCGTCTTCCAGTTCAAATACCGGTCCAGGTAATCCAACTCGCTGCAGCAAAGCTGTTATCCGTTAGGTACACGCCCGTGTATACAAATTATTAGCGTTCAACCGACTACTATCTGTTCCGACAATTCGTTTTTCAGAATAAGTACCCGTTTTCACGCCGCCTGGTACCGGACACGACCTTGTCAGGTATTGGGTTCCGTTGAAATGTGGGCTTGGACTTGTATGCCATGACACGGTTTCCCGTAGGTCACTCGGCTATAAAAACAACTTATCGGTTAGGGTATACCTACCATGCCTGTAGTTACTTGAAATTTGTGTTGAAAAATTGCTCTTTGAAAGTTAAAAGAAGTTCTCGCAACAACAATAATAATATTATTTATTGTTTAAAATTACTTTATTTAATGTTGATTTCTTTACTGGAATATAATTGATCCAAAGACCTTGAGAATTTATTTTTTTTTTTTTTTTAATTGTGCTCATCAATATAATAATTCAGAAAGCATATTATTGAAACATTAAATACTGCATCGTCTGCCTAGCTATTATCAGTTACATTCGTCATGGTTCATATGGAATGTACACATTAATCATTTCCTTAGTTGGACTAACTGTTGTACATTATTATTACTTATGTGTTATTTTGTACATTATATTTTATACTATCAACTATGTTATGAAATATGTGTACCATACATACCTAATGTTAATATGCACATTCTATATTTATTAATTCCACAATATTTATCTCATTCTAAAAGTATGTGGCTTATGCCAAGTTCAGTTATCTAAGAATGTAATTGTAAATACATTTATCAATTAACACTATAGAAACTTAGAATTGAATACTAATGATATAACATGTTGACTGTGTATTGTGAAATGTTTTTTTACTAAAAAAAATGTTTTTTACTAACTTAAATATTTATTAATTATTATTTAGTTTAAATTGCAGATTTACATAAATTAGTTTTATGTTTAAAAATTATTAAAGACCTAAGTGGTCTTAATAGGGTTTTTACTTAATTGATATATTTTATCGACATAATATATTTGTATCTTAATACTTACTAAAAAGCTTTGAAAGTATAAGCAGATAAGCTACCTTTTATTTACATATTTTTGTTAAAGAAAAGTAATAATGATTTTAAAAAATAATGATTAAATCCTACTTAAATGTATTAAGTAATTTGTGATATCATATGATAATTTTAAAAACAATAAAATAAAATTTTATATTTTTTGAAAAAACTGTATAAATTTGTAAAAAAGAAAAGAAAATGTTTTGTTGCAACTCACTGATAGTTAAATTATGTAAACAAAATAAATAATATTCTTTAATAATATATTCTATCAACAGTCACTCATTGACCTTTCTAATCAAAAATGTAGAAGTATGCCAATGCATAATAAATCTCAAGCCTGATGATTACTATTTAAGTGTATTTTAATAATGTATAATATTTAAACATTGATATACAGTTTAGATAGATAATCTGTAAATGTAATCATTATATTATCTATTATAAATATATCATTACATCAATAAAACAGTGTAGTGTAATTTCCAAAATAAAATAATTTTTACAAGGTTTTTTTTTAAAACAATTTGCACAGGTGGTGAAAAAAATATGGTGAATAATATATATTTTTTTTTAATTTTACTTATACACATTATAGTATGTCAACAATAATAGAAAATGTACAGAAAAAAATATATATTTGAATCTTAATGTATAGAAGTCTTAGAATATACCTTTCTCGCATATAACAAACATCCAAGGACATCCTTTATTCTATTGTGATAATTTTTTATAAAATATAAAAATTTATTTTTGCAGGTTGATCGCATATTTTGGACAACAAATTTCAGATTTATTGTCTCTTGAATGGTGCCTACATGGGAAAAAAAATCTGTCATCAACACGTGCAAGAGTGGCTATTATAAATTATCAAACTGACATTGATACATTAGGTGATTATTATTATTTTAAAATTTTTATGTGACTAATGACTATGAGTACTAATTTGAGTAAAAGATACACAATTTGTGCTGGGCAACAAAAGCAATTTTTTATGTTTAAATAAAAAAAAAAATTAACATAGTATTGTATATTTCCATATTTAGAGTAACATTTTTTTATATTTTTACAGGACTTTTACATTTGGTATATAGTCAAGAGATGGAACTGAATATAATTTCAGAAACAAATTTTGTCAACTTATGGCCATTTTCGTTTTTTCCATGGCTGCTTTCCTTGGCACTATCCCCTTTTCAATTTTTTTATACCAATTTAAGGTTGTTGAATTGTTGTCCATCAATTGATTCACAGGTAAATATTATAAAGCATTGTTTAAATTGTATTAAATAATGCAACATACATACATACATATTTATATATTAAAATTTTTTTATTATTATTACTGTTTATAGCCTACAATTATTTTATCATCAACTAAAATGACAAATGAAGAAACTATTAAAATGGCTTTAAAAAAAAAATTACCTGTCCAGCCTATCGTATTTTCCAACTGCTATTTCATAAACAAAGAAAAACATATGTTTGAGCCAGGTGTTTATATTATAGCTTTAAAATTGTTACAATATTTTATGGTCTTATCATATCCTTGTAATATTTAATTATTTCAGGTCGTGTTATTATATCTGTTATGCCAATCATAGAAACTGATGGTTTATCAGCAAATGATATATCTAACTTCAGTGATGAAGTATGTTCTAAAATACGTACAGAATATGACAGTATAAGTAAAATAACTCAACTGGGCGACTATCAAACACCATCTTTTTAGGCCTTTGAGTTCATATTATTAATAATACTCTTCCATGCACAATTTTTAATTAACAAAACTTCAAGTTATATTTATTGTTTATTTTAAAAAGACACATTTTTGTTCACTATGGTATGGCTAAAAAGTATATTTACACTACTTAAATGTTGATAATTCTTAATTGTTTATTTATTTATAATTCATTGTTTTTTTTTTTTAACAATTTTTATTTGTTTATATACATAATATAGACATATTTTGTTCTTATTGGCTGTGCATATTATAATATGTAATTTGTTAGATAATTATTTATTTTGTTTTCAAAACTGTGATGGTCATTAATCATTACATAATCTAAATACCAAAAAAGTATTTTTTTTTTTTTATTTTTTTTTTATGAAACTAGTCATAATTAGTATTATCATTTATTTGATTATCTACTCAATTTATAATCAATATAAACGTATTTTTTTTTTTAATTTTGTGTTTGTTGTGTTTTAGTTGGACTTCCATTAATTTTTTTTTACACATTTTTAATGTTAAAATATCAAATTAAAGACCATCATAAAAGTGTTTGTTAATTTTTTCATCTAGTTGTAAAAAAATATTTTTATTGTAAATGGGTTGGGTGCAATTGTGTATGTTATCTATTGGGCTGTATAAATTAAATTATGTCCAATATAGAATTAGTTATAAAGTCATAGTGATGACTTAAAGAATATTAACTACCTACTATTTATAAAAAACAAAAGTTATGCATTAAGACTTAAATTATTTTTTTAAATTTAATATCCAATAAAGTTATCTTAAAATTACTTATTTATTATTTATTTTATTTTGATATTATATTTGTATATGAGTATACTGTAATTTATTTAAATGTTACTGAAAAAAACTGTGTACAGAAAATTGTGAAATCCAAGGTAGTTGAAAAAATACAATTAAATTCACTTATGTAATATAACATATACTTTTTGATACTATGATAAATTAGGATTTAGGAAAATTGGTCCCATGAAAAAAACACTGTTTGCAAATAGTTGTCCCCGTAGTATTATACACGAATAACTATTGGTTCTTATCTAATTTCTGTGACAAATTTTTTATTTTTATAACTTTAGAGAAATATAGGTAGTTTAAGGAATACTCATAGAATTATCTGAAAATAACTAGCTTTTTATTTAGATTGTATTAATATTAAGAATGTTGTGGCAATTGTCATTATATTATTACTTTAGTGAAAACATACAGAAAATCATACGTTCATATTTTTAACATAATAATTTTTGTTTATTAATCTTTCAGTTTAACTTAATCTAAATAAATCTCATCAAATACATGTAACTTTTAAAAAGATTTAATGCCAATATTTGTTTTTTTTTTGATTTTGCAAGGTACACAAGTAATAAAAAATGACTGATAATGTGCAATATACACGGGTTTACTATATAAGGGACTTAGCCCCTCCCCTCCAAAATTATATAGTATTTCATGTGAAAATATTTTTTTGTAGATTCACTAATTGTATGATAGTATAGGTATATTATATTATTAAGCAATTGCGGATCCAGGACATATTTATGTGGGATAGAGAGCACAGGGGCGGATTTAGACATTTTCCAAGGAGAGGACGCATAGAAATCAAAAAAAAAAAAGGTCATTAGATTAAAAAATTAAAATAAAAGGTAAATAATGCTTAGGTTAAATTAACTTCATATTCATATCATTAAAACATTTTAAATTTAAAGAATTAGAGTGTACATGGGGGGCATGCCTCCTTACATTCGCGCTTGAAAAATAATTTTACTACGAGAGCTTGACATGATTCTCATCTGTCTTTATTGTCTTCTATAATCTATGAATTTCATTTAATCAATGAATAGTTTTTTTTTTTTTTTAGTTAATTTAGCTTGCCAGAAATTTCAATAGATTTCCGCTTACCTATATGTCAAATTAACAATTTAAAAATGCTCCTAATATGTATATTGCAAAAAATTTCAAATATTGTAAAAAACGACAGAATTCTAATAATGTTCATAACTTGATGATTGAAAGTAAATCAGTTTTCCCGAATATTAAAGGTGACCAAGCTTAGAATAATAATATAGTACTCCACTTATTTATCTAACAATAAAACCCATCCTATTACTGAACTACCGCGATATTATCGAAATTAACATATCCTTTGGATCCTTTAAAATCTAACCTAACCAAAAGTACTAATTAAATTATTGCTACCAGAAACCACCTTCGATGTTGAACTTGAATATCTATATTCTAACATTTTTTATTTTTATTTTTAATTACAATTTATAATACGTTTAGACTTTAGAGTCTTTAGACACATAAAAAAAAAAAAAAACAGACACAATTTTTTATAAGTTTATAACTAATAGATGCATTCATCCCTTCGCTTATTAGAATCTAAAATAATTGTCTATCTTCATGAAATTCGATTTAAAATCTTGGTATATCCCAAGAATTTTGTTATTATTAATGTCTGTATGTCATAGTGGTGGCACCAGTATTTTATTCCTTGTAGGCTCAACCTGAGACACGTAACTGTAGAGCCAATATATCTAATATATACTTATAATAAGGTGTAAAATATCTTTGCTCCAAGCTTCCTGCCAAAATCGTACCTACCCAAAAAAGGAATCCATGGGTCTGGACCCCAATATATTTCTGTTAGAGTAATGAATAATACATTATTTTATTTATACAAAAAGTTAAAAAAAAAAAAAAAATGGTCACCACTTTAAGGCCTTTAGGTTCTCTTCCATAACATAAAAACAAAGCCATATCAATTCCATACATTTTATACCATCAAATTAATCTATAATATCATATTTAAATTTTAAACTATAAAACACGTAGACACATAAATATATATTTTATACGAATCAAAATGAAATAAAATATCTTGATAGTTACCTATATTTAATTCAATAACATTTTTTTTTTTATACAAATTTATACTTTTACTATCAACTTAATTTAATAAAATAATATTTAAATATATTATACAAATTAAGTTTTATATTGTTAATTACGTTTGAACATGTCAACTTGAATTGAACAACAGTTAACAACTGATAATACATAATAGTATTAGTATAATACGTAGGTATATTAAAATATCAATTCAATTTATTTTATATTATATTTCTATTTTTATGTTCATAATAATCAACATTTACTATCACAATATATAGGTACCTACTACGTAGATCATTGAAAATATTACTTATCTTGTTTCAATATTATGCGTTTATATTTTCTCCTCGACTCCTCGTGCTCATACTGATAAAATACAATGCAGATTATTTATTTTAATGATGGATTTTGATTTAATTTTTAAAATTTCAGGGTACCTATAGGTCAGTAGACGGATTAGGTATTTTTAGCGAAGGCAATGGTCCGTCAGTGCCCACCCTTGACACCGTCCCTGAAGTATCGTTTAAAAGTTAGCGGAGTATATTTCACGAACATAACACGATTGTGCATTTTTTACCTTTTTATATTTGAAAAAATACAACACGATTGCCCACAAATTTAATTAAATTTTATATTGCTGACTTAAATGATTATAATTTAAAAAAAAACTATAGTTGAAAATCTGAACTAGATGTTTGGTCGAAACAATTTTTTTCACTTACATTTTTACCCTTGGAAGATTTAAAAGACGCTTTTGCTTATTTAATTGAAAATAGCCCTACTAATAATTTTGAATTCACTGATTATGTAGGTACCTACTCATTAATTATAAATAATATAAATCATCTGATGTTGCTTTTTCACCGTTTTTATGGGCAACTGAAGCTGAACTTTCAACAGAAGCAAGCACTCAAAAATATTTAGGTACCTAAAAGATGCGCAATCGTGTTGTATTTTCTCAAATATGAAAAGGTAAAATGTGCACAATCGTGTTGTGTGTTTTTTTTTTTAGGTAAAAAAATAAAAAATGCGCAATCGTGTTGTACCGGTATGTCACACAGCGCCTCACAAAACAGTCTATATTATTGCAACATACTTGTTGCTCACTTAAATGACCGATAAACTAATTCGGTATACGCGTTGTCACTATGAATTCACATGAATGATTCGGGTTTGTTTTTAATGGTCGGTTCATAAACTCCGAATATGAAAGCCAGTCACAATAATATTCCAAACGTGTCATTAGATATTTTGCACTATTTCACAAATAGAAATATCATTTACAATAGAATGACAACTACAAATTACCAGCTATCATACACACTTTGCACGTACACGTTTTACATCTATGTACATATGCAGTAGAGCCGACGAGACCGTAGTCAGGACGAATTCAGATCGAGCATCGTCAGGATTACCGAGATTCGTCTGCGGACTACCAAAGGGTTTTTGAGATTATCTATTCAAATGACTAAGATTTTTATTTTTAATTCTATTTGCACTTTTATTTTTATTGCACTTGAAATTACAAAAATAATAAGTAACTTTAACATAATTAATTACAAAAAAAAAAAAAAAAAATGTTTAAAATATTAAAACTTAAGTACCTATTGCGTATAGTCAGTAATTTTTTTTTTTTTGAAGAAGAAGAATTCCGAACATACTACAAAATAATATTATCTATTCACTAACAAATGGACTTGTGCCATCCAGATTACCGCGTTCAACGTATTATCGGGGGTGCGGACTATCGATGCTCTTTACTGTGTGTATGATATTTGAACATTTCCTCCATATGACGATTGTAGCTACTATAGGTATCAACAAATTACAATACACATATTATAGGTATTATGCATTAATCGAGTTGGAAATGAATTATACGTATTAAAGAACCAACGCGTTAAAACATAATAATATATCATGTAATAGTATAAATCCGTACAAAAAATTGTTCGACTTATATCTGGGATACCTAGGTATCATATTATATTTTTATGTTTTTGTATTTTTTTTTTTTTTTGACACAATCACGTATCTTGTTTTTCTTTAGATTGTTACTAACCTAACCTTGTCACGGCGGTATTTATTGTAGAGTACTATTTGCCGTTAATATACCATAACTCATGTTATACAATAAATAATAATATATAATATAACCAATACCTTTATGTTTTTTTTTTACGAGATCTGTTCGATCCTATCTATAAATTATAATAGTACCCACAAGTGCACGCG